ATCATAAAGCTTTTTGGTGGCTTTGGTGATGATCCTTGTAGTAACATTACTAGGGATGAACCTGTAATTTTATTAAAAAAATACATTAATATCTTAGTAAAACTGTACTAAACAAAAAATGTTAAAATAACAAATAACTCTTACCCGTCACCCTCAGGGACTATGATGATCCTGCCATATTCATCATAATGCACCTCCTCGTCATTAGCAACATCATTGTCCGAAGCATGTACATCGGAGGCATGTGTGGAAGGTGTAGGGGGGTCAGAGCTAGTATCTCGCAGGCGAAGGCCTGCAATAGATGGAGTCCCAGATGAAGATGGCTGCGAGCCCTGGGACTCGAGCCCTGGAGTGCGACATAGCTGTATGGGCCGCAATGGGATGAGACACAGATAGCTGTGACCCGAGTGGCTGTGACACGGATGGCTGTGATCCATGTGGATGTGACATGGATCGATGCGATCCATGAGCTGCTGATGGATGCGATCTATGTGGTAGTGAGACATGTGGACTGTATGTAGGTCGTACAGTCCTATGCCCTCTGAAGAAAGACCTGGCGTCTGCACGAAGGTGTAGGGCTGGTGATGCGCTGGCAGCTCAGAATAGCCCTGGGGTGGAGGCCCAGACATAGGCACAGGCACAGACATCTGTGAAGAGGCAGGAAGGGATTGAGTAGTATCTTCTACCCTCCTCTTTGGTTTCTTAGCCTTTTCTCGACCCCGAGAACCAGTAGGATCACTGTTACCTCGACCCTTGCCTGTCATCTGCATAATATAATACATAGTTAGATTGAAACATATAAAGAAACTAGCTATAAACGAGAGTTATTAAAGAAACCAACTTTTTAAAGCTCATCGACGTATAGTTCCTCGTCCGAGAATTCTTCTTCCTCACTAGTTTGAGCTTCATCAGTTGATTCTTCTTCCTCGTTTTCTATAATTCTTACTTCATCTATATCAACTTCTTCCAATGTGTGTTCAGGATGTTCCAAATCATTTTCTAAAACTTCGTCCACTATTTGGTGAACACTGGAGATATCGTTTTGATATGCAACATCTAACATATTCTCGACTTCTACCCTACCCACAGGCTTAGTTTTTATTACAACCCACCAATCAGACTTATTCCACCGCAATGGATAAGGAGCATAATACATTTTCCTAACATTATGTGCAATTATGAAAGGATCATAGCGATCATACTCCCTCGTATGATTAACCTCAATTATGTTGTACTGATTGTGTACTCTTGTACCTCTTGTTGGATGTGGGTCAAACCACTTGCATCTAAAGAGTATCAATTTCTTAAAAGGCCAACCTGTATATTCTAGTTCTATTATTTCTTTGAGCACACCATAATAATCAATATCTCCATTTTGGTTGCCATTACCACCTTGAACCCACACCCCACTGTTGTTGCTATTTTTATTTTTAGAGCAATCCTCTGCATGAAACTTATAACCATTCACAACGTACTTAGACCTTGTTGCGACCTCAACCCCAGGTCCCCAAGATACATCTTTCAAAAATTGATTTACACCATTATTTGGATCAATTACCTACATATCGTTAAAAAAATTCATAAGTTAGCATAACTTCCAAACATTGTTTACCTACATAGTGTTAGAATATTTTAAGGAGAAACTTACAAATTATTTGAACCACGTATCAAATCTCGTATATACAACATCATGGCCAAATTGACCCACAAAGTGACTGTGACACATCAAATATTTTTAGTAGTTGCATTGAGATGTAATCACAGTAATTTTTATTATTTTGATAACTACTAAATCAATACTTACTTGAGATATGGTACAACTTCGGGACAATTTAGCAACACGTGAAGTGTAGCTGACTTGAACTCCATATCACTCAAACTTCTCTTTCTACCATCCTTAGAACATCGGCCTGGTTGATTGAATATGGACATAGGCGGATATAATGGATCATTCCTAAGGTCGACCGTGTGCCTGTTGGGCCTATTCCTAGCACATGGCACATTACTCTCAAAATAATAAGAACAAAAATGAGCAGTTTCCTTTGCAAGATAAGCTTCGCATATAGATCCTTCAATCCTATTCCTCTGCTTAACAAATTGTTTGCATTTGCCAATTGTCCTACATAATTTCAGGTTAGCCAAGAACATTTGTTTAAATTAAAACAGAAAATTACATCAAACTTAAAATATTACATCTCAAAGGGATACATCCATCTGCATTGAACAGGCCCTCCAAGTCGTGCCTCGTGTACAAGGTGGATTGGAAGGTGTTCCATCACATCAGAAAACCCACATGGAAATATCTTTTCCATCTTAGTAGAAGTTACACGAATGTTCTGATCCATCCGGAGTAGGTTTTCTTCCCTTAATGCGGAAGAACACAAGTCTTTGAAAAACAAACTAATCTCTGTGATGGGTTTCCAGATTCGTTCAGGCAAACCACAAAATGCAATAGGCACTAAGGTCTCCATGAAAACATGACAGTCATGACTTTTCAAATGTCTCAACTTCCCTACCTCCATATCAACTTTTTTCCCAAAATTCGACGCGTAACCCTCAGGCATCTTCAATTTCGTTACCCAATCACAAATTTGTCGTCTTTCCTCCAAAGTGAATGTGTAACTTGCTTGTGGCTTGAACAACTTACCATTGTTTGCTGTCTGCAAGTATAACTTAGGCCGCCTGCAATATTCTTATAAGTCCATTCTAGCCTTCGGGTTATCCTTTGTCTTACCTTTAACATCCATCACTGTGTTGAACAAATTGTCAAAATAGTTCTTCTCAATATGCATGACATCAAGGTTGTGACGGAGAAGATTATCCTTCCAATACGGCAACTCCCAAAATATACTCTGTTTAGTCCAATTATGAGTAACACCGTATCCGGGGAATCTATAAGGTGGAGCTTCAGTAACTTTACTGAAGTTCTGGACCCCCTCCCAAATTCCCTCACCTGAAAGTATCGGAGGTGGGAAATCATATTCCATTTTATTCTTTTTGAATGCATTTTTATCCTTCTAAACCCATGATCAGGAGGCAAGAATTGACGATGACAATCAAACCATGATTGCTTTCGGCCATATTTCAAAGTGAACGCTTTACTATTTTCCATGCAGTAAGGACAAGCTAGCTTCCCAGCAGTCATCCACCCAGACAACATTTCATACGCAGGAAAATCGTTAATTGTCCACATTAAATTAGCACGCAAAATGAAATTCTGCTTGGTTGATATGTCATATGTTTCAATACTATCGTACCACAATTGTTTTAGCTCATCATTCAAAGGTTTCAAATATACATCAATCAAACTTTTTGGATTGCGTGGACTGGGGATAATACAATTTAAGAATATATATGGACTAGTCATGCACAACTCGGGTGGTAGATTATAAGGTGTAAGAAAGAAAGGCTAACATGAATATGGTGTGGCAGATACAGAAAAAGGCGTGAAGCCATCCGCACACAGACCTAATCGAACATTCCTTGGTTCACTAGCAAAATCTGGATATGTCCTATCAAAGTGCTTCCAAGCTTCTCCATCTGAAGGATGACACATAACACCAGGTGGTCTTCTATTTTCAAAGTGCCATCTCATATGAGGAGCAGAACTCATCGACGCATATAACCTCTTTAACCTAGGTATAAGAGGTAAATAATGCATCGACTTGGTTGCGACCATATTCCCACTGGAAAGCCTCTTGAAACGAGGCTTTTCGCAAAATTTACAACTGTCCAAACCTGCATCATCTTTAAAATATAACATGCAACCATCTTCACAACAATCAATTCTCATTGACGAAAGTCCTAACTTAGAAACTAATCTCTTTGCCTTGTAGAAATCACTAGGTAATTCGATATCAGGGTCAACTAGTTCACGCATAAGGTCAATGAAAGAGTCCATGGCTCCTTGAGAAATATTCCAATCAGATTTCATACTTAGTAATCTAACTGCAACAGACAACTCAAAGTGCGGACTTCCGTTGCGTAGTGGACGACTAGCTTCCTCTAAAGCTTCATATAAACGTTTTGCGTCATCATTAGGAGTTTGTTCAACATTTTCATTGGGCTCACCCCCTAAGTGCATCCGAAAAGCATCTGCAACCATATCATGAATTCTAGAATCACGATTTGTATTCTCCACCGACCTACTACTTTCACCCACAACCATGTTATGAAATATCCCATGGCTACCATCGATCTCTCCATGACTAGTCCACACAAAGTAATTCGCTATAAACCCCTTACTATAAAGATGAACCTTAACTTCCTCCGATTTTCCAAACTTCATGCAGTCGCACCTAACACAAGGGCACCTAATTACTCCTTCATTTATGTATGGCGAAAGTGACATTGCATGTCTAATAAATTCATCAACCCCTTCTACAAAATCCTCCCGCAATCCCCGCCGATTAGGATAATTCCTATTGTACATCCAAGTACGATGTTCCATCTATATAAATAAAGCAAGAACAAATTAATTTAGTTAATTCAAGTATTTACAATGTATTCTTATTTAGGACAATGTATTTATAAGTACTCTTATTTAGGTATTGCTAATGTATGAATTGTTTCTTTTAACAATTTAACTCAATATAAATTAATACAAGAACTAAAAGATCATAATTTCTACCTTAAGTTCATAAATCTAATGTAGTTCAAACCAAAAATCCCAATACTAAATAGACAAAAACTCTAGAAAATTACATAAAATTATATAGCAAAAATTAAAAATTAAAAAGATAAGAAGGTAGATTACTAACTTGGTAGATTAAAAGGAGGATTAAAAAGCAGTGGTGGCAAGGGGTGGGGGACAGCGGCTCCGGCGATAGTGGTAGCGGCGGACAGCAGCTCCGGCGACAGTGGTAGCGGCGGACAGTGGTAGCAGCGGCTCCGCCGTGGTGGCGCGCGGTCACAGTGGAGGCAAGGGGTGGGGGGATTGATTTGTGTAAGGGAAATAGAGAAGGGGAGGAGAATATGTTGAGAGAGAGTTTGGGAAATTTTTAGTAACAAAATAAGAGATTGGGAGGGCANAGTTCACCGCCGTAGAACTCAACAGTTACACCTACTTGTTCAACACTATACTTCGATTCTGCCCTTCTAAAAGGAACATCGGCTCTAACAATTCCATCGCCATCTACCAAAACGACCGGAAATGTTTCAAAAAAAGTAGGCATACGACGTACAAAAAGTTCACGCCCTTCTTTATCTCTAAAGATAGGGTGCCCTAACCATCCAACCGCTATTCCATCCCCGTTATCCATTGAGCCCGCTCTGAATAATCCCCCTTTTGCCGGATTATTGCCGATGTAATCATAAAAAGCTAATTTTTCAGGAATTTTAGACCAGGCTTCTGATAAACTTTGATTTTCTGCTAGCCCAGCACTAACTCTTCGATATATTTCTTGCTGGAAGTACCCCTGATCCCATTGGTAACGAGTGGGCCCAAATAATTCAATCGGGGTTGTTGCCGAACCATACCACATAGTTCCGGCAACAACAAAAGCTGCAAAAAAGACAGCAGCGATACTACTGGAAAGGACGGTTTCAATATTTCCCATACGCAATCCTTTGTATAGACGTTGTGGCGGACGGACGCTAAGATGGAATAGGCCCGCTAATATGCCCAATGTTCCTGCTGCAATATGATGAGAGGCTATTCCTCCTGGAACAAAAGGATCAAAACCTTCCACGCCCCACGCTGGATTTACAGGTTGTACTTTTCCCGTTAGTCCATAAGGGTCGGACACCCATATTCCGGGACCATACAAGCCTGTTACATGAAATGCACCAAAACCAAAGCAAGCCACCCCTGAGAGAAATAAATGAATTCCAAAGATCTTTGGCAAATCCAAAGAGGGTTTTCCTGTACGTTCATCACAAAATATTTCTAGATCCCAATACACCCAATGCCAGATAGCTGCCAAAAAGCATAAGCCAGAAAACACAATATGTGCTCCAGCTACACCTTCGTAACTCCAAATACCCGGATTCGTTACAGTCCCCCCTGTGATACTCCAACCGCCCCATGAATTGGTTATTCCTAAACGAGTCATGAAGGGTATAACGAACATACCCTGTCTCCACATTGGATCAAGAACAGAAAAATTCTTTTCTCGGGCTCTAGACCTCGGATTTCGACTCCGGGCACATGCCCGAGTCCCATATTTTTTTACGGACCCTCTGGGACCGTCGAATCACGGGTCCGGGTCCGTTTACCAAAAATATTGACCGAAGTCAACTTTAATCATTTTAAAGCCACATTTCGAAATTTTTCACAGAATTTAACATATAATCTTTCTGGCTACGCGTCCGGACTGCGCACGCAAATCGAGGCAAGTAAAAAATTAGGTTTTCAAGGCTCGAAAGCGCGGAATGAATGAGGAAACAGGTGATGACCCTTTGGGTCGTCACAATATTCTATTGAGCGACCAACATTGGTCGCTAAAGTTGAATTATATTTATTTATATTTTATAATTTTTTTAAACAAAATTATAATTATTAAAATTTTATAACTGGGTCCCAAATTAGCGACCAAAGTTGGTCTCAATCTGTTTACTCTTTATATAGCGACCAACTTTGGTCGCTAATTTTAAATTTTATTTATTTATATTTTATTATTTTTTAAAAATAATATTATAATTATTAAAATTTAATAGGCGGGTCCCATGAAAGCGACCAACTAATCTGAGTAATTCTTTGACCAAACAAGTCTGACCAGTCCGGTCAACAGTTTGATAAAGTTTTCGACCAAGTTGCGACCAACGTTGGTCGCTAATTTATTTAAAATCATTATTTTATTATTTTCACCAGTTTAGCGACCAACTTTGGTCGCTTTTCTTGACAGACCAACGTTGGTCGCTAAAGTCTGGTCGCTTTTTGCAGGAATTCTAGTAGTGAGATAAGATACTATGTAACTGTCTGGGGCAAAATTGATGAACGACATGTAGATGCTCGACGAGTTGACACGTGAAAGTAAAGACAAGTAAAATATGAGTCAACAAATAGCTGAATAAGTTTCGAAGACACTGGAACCAGGGACGAAGATCTGAAAGGAAGATATCGGTTGGAAAAGACAACATTCAATGAGCAGTCATTACAAAGGATCTTTGCATTAATACTTAACCGTTATAGACATCAAGAGGGATTTTATTCACATTAAAGAAGAGCTTGGTTTGGAAACCTTGTCTCACAATTGAACTATAAATAGAAGAATTTGTATTCATTGTAGGACATGAAAACTTCTGTACGCAAAAAGGCTACTGATTTTATTAACTACATTCTTTCTTTCTATTCAACATATTGTTCTTATTCTTGCTTCCAGAGAAGCTCATCTCATAGTCAGGCTTGTATTTTCTTCTAGTTTATTTCTGTTCTTAGTATTTTTATATTCTTGGATCAAATTAATTCACGTGTTTATAAACCACGTTATAAATTTAACTTTACCATTTTACGGGCAAACAGTTTGGTGCCATCAGGGGCATAGGCAATTGTGTTATTACTTTGATCCATTCATCTGTTACTAACATATTTTGATGTTTTGCTTTAGTCAAAGTAAAAACAGATATCGTAGCTAACGATGTGAACAACTCTTTTAATGTTGGAACAAACAACGAGCGTAAACATATGTTCCAGCGTGATCATTCAATCAGCAAACTCGAAACAACGGAGATGAGATAACTCCGATTCACGAAGAATTAAACCCTCGGCATGTGAGAAGTCTTACTCCTGATGATATGGACGATGAGCCCGTTGTCGAAACGGTAAAAGTTTTGAGAGCGCAACAAAAGCAAATTATCAACCATCTTTCAAGACAAGACAATATAATAATTGAGCTCTAGCAAGCACTTTCGGTTGCCTCCAATAATTCCAATGGAGGAGTTCGAGCACCTCCTAATGTGCCTACAAATCAAATAGCGCAAAGAACCGGTAACGTCGCTTCGAGGGAGGAGTTCGATTTTATTGAAAATCAAGCAGTGGTGCAGGTAGTGGATTTGGGAACAACAATAACACAAATGATCCCTTTAAAGCCGAGCTCATGAGATTCATTAGGAAAATGAATGATCGGATGGATCAAAATGATAAAGAATTCCACGACCGGATGGATCAGATCACGGAAGCACCATCGGTGTCAAAGGGGCCTAAATCAAAGAAGTATAAACCAAGTGCAGCCCCGGAGTTGATTCCAAAAAGATTCAAGATGCTGGATGTTTCAATGTATGATGGAACTTCGGATCCAAAAGAGCATAAGGCAACTTACACTCGGAAATGATTTGGCCCCACATGAGATCGAATATGTCCTGCTGAAGAAATTCGGCGAAACCCTAACAAAGGGTGCTTTAACATGGTACTCTCTTTTACTTGAGCATTCTATTGACTTTTTTGAAATGTTTGCGGATTTCGTTTTAAAGCTCATGATGGAGCGAGGAAAGTCCAAGCTAAGAAAGCAGATATATTCAAAATCACTCAAGGAGAATCTAAATTATTAGGGAGTTCGTAATCATATTTCAAAAGGAGAGCATGTCATTGTCGACAGTACCGGATGAGTGGGCAGCTGAAGCGTTCACCAAAGGACTCAATCCAGTAAGCCCTTGTGACTCCAAGAAATTGAAGGAAAGCCTGTTGGAGTTTCAAGCAACCACATGGGCAGATGTCCACAATCGTTATGAATAAAAAATCATAATTAAAGATGATTAACTGAGTTCTTCGGTGTCATCCCTAATAATTCAGATTCTCCTTGAGCGCCGATGCCTCCAAAAAATTAAAGGAAAGCCTGTTGGAGTTTCACGTAACCACATGGGTAGATGTCCATAACCGTTATGAATAAAAAATTAGAATTAAAGATGATCAACTGAGTTCTTCGGTATCATCCAAAGGTTGCAATCGCGAACGGAATCAGGAGAAGTTCAGAAGTGATTTTGATGTAGACCGAATGTCTTCCAGGAATCGTTTCCAGCTTTATGAAAGAGCTAATATGCGAGGAATTAAAGGTTTGCAGTCTTCAGAAAGGTTTGTATTAGAAAGAAGGACGGACAATAGTCGAAGTAGCAGGACTTCGCAGGAGAGAACCATCGGGCTCCCGAAATTCGGCATATCCCCGATTGTCAGATTACAAATTCAATATTTGTTTGGTAGAAATGGTTTCAGCTATGAGAAACATCAAGGAGGCAAGATTTTTGAAACCAATTCGGTCAGATCCTAGTCTATGGTGTGAATTCCACGGAACGCGTGGCCATAGGACTGGGGATTGCTGATATTTTTGTGAAGAGGTTGTAGAATTATTAAAGAACGGTCATCTTAGAGAATTTCTAACTGACCGTGCCAAGAGCAATTATGGCAGGAATCGAGATGCTACAGAACTAGCCAAACCAGCCGCAGGGTCACCCCGTCTAACAATAAACACAATCTTTAGTGGAGTTAAAGTAATGGGGTGGCATTTTCGGCAGCAAATAAGACAAAGATATCGGTAACTCATGCCAAGAGAGTCCGAGAAGAATCAGAAGATGATGATATTACCTTCACGGAAGAAGACATTGATGGCCTTATTTTACCATATAACGACGCTCTGGTAATATCACTTAATTTGTTAGATATTAAATTAACCATGTGTTGGTTGATCCGGGTAGTTCAACCAATATCATCTATCTGAGAGTTTTGGAACAAGCAAAGTTAACCAGAAATATAGTTCCAGCAACAAAGCTTCTGGACGGGTTCAACCTAACAAGTGTAACAACTCGATGGGAGATTTTATTTCCCATTCACGTCGAAGGCATGACGAAGACTACTTTGTTTGAGGTGGTGGATGGCGATATGGGATACAACGTGATCGTTGGAAGGCCATGGTTTCATGATATGAAGGTTGTGTCATCGACTTACCATCAACTGCTGAAGTTCCCTACACCGGATGGGATCAAGCAGATTAGAGGTGATCAACTTGCTGTGAGAGAAATGAATGCAGTAACCTTATCCAGCAGCAAGGCTGAAGGAACAAGCAAATAACAACTACAGGAACCGATGTCTACTGCCTTTCCAGATCCGTAGAAGGTGTTGGTGAAGAGGAGACATCCAATTATTATCAGGCGCATAGATCCATTCAGGTAACGGAAGAAGCAGATGCCACAAAGTCGACCACAGAGGAACTAGAACAAATTGCTTTGTTCATAGAATTTTCGGATAAAATGGTTTACCGGGGAATGGGGTTGCGTCCCGAACTCAGGCTTACAATTTTTGAATTTAAAAGCTAACTTCGATTGCTTCACATGGTCTCATTCTGATATGAAAGGTATTCCACTAGATGTGGTTGTCTGCAAGTTAATTTTGGACCCTAATTTTCCGCTGGTGAAGCAAAAGAAACGGCCAATAGAGAAAGTTAGGAACAAGTTTGTTAAAGAGGAGGTAACCTGGTTGTTAAATATAGGTTCAATTCGTGAGGTGAATCATCCTGATTGGCTAGCTAACATAGTGATTATTCCTAAAAGGAATAATAAGTTTAGAATGTGTCTAGATTATAAAGATTTAAATAAGGCATTCCCTAAAGATTCTTTTCCGTTGCAAAATATTGACCAAATAATCGATTCTTCGGCCGTGCATGAATTGATAAATTTTCTTGATACGTATTCCAGATATAGTCAAATTAGGATGCACCAGGAGGATAAAGAAACCTCATTCATCACAAATTTTGGCACTTATTGGTATAATGTGATTTATCTAGGGAATAAGAACGCTGGAGCCACTTATTAGAGGCTCATTAATAAGATGTTTGAACATCAAATTGGTAAAACTATGGAAGTTTATATTGATGAAATATTGGTTAAGTCTCTTATTATACGAAATCATTTGAGTCATTTACAAGAGATATTTGATATTTTGAGAAAATTCAACATGAAGCTCAACCCGAAAAATACGCTTTTTTGGAGTTCCGAAAAGTTTTCTGGCTTCTTGGTTTCTCAAAGAGGAATTGAAGTGAATCCCGATAAGATTAAGGCCATAGCGGATATCCTTACCTATTGACAAGTGTGAAGAAAGTGAAAAGGTTGATAGGCAGGTTGGCAGCCCTTAGTAGATTCATATTGAGGTCATCGAAAAAATGCCATTATTTCTTTTAAAAAAGAAGAATGATTTCTTGTGGACTCCGAAATGCCAGCAAGCTTTGAAAGACCTAAAAAGGTACTTTTCCAGTCATCCGCTAATGTCCAAACCAAAAAAGGATGAACATTTGTTAATTTATTTAGCGATTTCGGAAGTTGCGGTGAGTGCAATCTGGTCCGGGAGGAAGAATGTATGCAGTTTTCTGTTTATTACATTAGTAAAATTTTGTCGGGAGCGGAGACACAAAAGTGCCACCCAATAGTCATTGTGGCAACTTTTTCCTTGAGGAACGTCCTTTATAAACCTGAATTATCGGGTCGATTGGCTAAATGGGCAGTAGAAATTTGTGATATATAATACAAGCCTCGGACATCTATTGAGTCACAAGTTTTGGCCAACTTTGTGGCTGACTTTAGTGCGGGAATAATGACTTTAGCTGCTAAAGAAACAATTTTGATGTCGGGAATCGCCTTCGGTGTATGGACCTTGTTTACGGATGGAGCCTCCAACATAAAAGGGTCTGATCTTGGGATAGTACTAATCACTCCTTCGGGAGATACCTTGAGACATGCCATTAGAACTGTTCCTTTGACTAACAATGAAGCCGAGTATGAGGCTTTGGTGCTGGACTTGAATTAGCCCGGAGACTAGGCTCCGAGGTGATTGAAATAAAGCGAGACTCCAAGCTGGTAGTGAATCAGATATACGGAGTGTTTGACACCAAAGAGAAGTGTATGCAACAGTACTTGAATAAAGTTTAAGTTTTACTTTCCCCGTTCAAGGAGTGGTCGGTAATTCACATCCCAAGGGAAGAGAACATGGAGGCAGACGCATTGACCAATTTAGGGTCATCCACGAAAATGAAAGGAGCCGATTTCGGTGCAATTGTTCAGCTGTTGCATTCAGTCCTGGACGTGGATAGGTATCGCAAAGTTAACTTGATCAACGTAATTTGAGATTGGAAAAACGAGTTTATAGAATATTTAAGGCATGTCAAATTACTTGAAGATTCTAAAGCCTCCCAGGGGCTATGAACTAAAGCTGATCGTTATTGCCTTTTTGATGGTCAATCATAGTGAAGATCGTTTCAAGGATCATTGGCTCGATGTTTAGGAACATCAGAGGCTAATTATATGATGAGAGAAATTCATGACGGGGTTTGCAAAAATCATTCAGGTGCGGACCTGTTGATTCTTAAATTGATAAGGGCTGGTTACTATTGGCCCCGGATGGAACAAGGCACGAAGGCGTTTATACAAAAACATGATAAGTGTCAACATTATGCGCAATAATACATCAGCAGGCATAGCTTCTGCATTTGGTGGTGTTACTGTGGCCATTCATGAAATGGGGGATGAATGTAGTTGCTCTTTTTTCTCAAGGTCTCGTTCAGGTAAAATTTATTTTAGTTTTAACTGATTATT